AGGATAATCTGTGCCATGACTCGAAGTAATATGGAGTTAGAAATGCAGAATAAATCCATCCTCTGACAAAAGTCAGAGTACTCCATTGAAATCAGTGGATTATCTGCAGATTTGCACCAGCGTCAGTAAGACCATAATCGTGGTCAGTCTCGGAGAAGAGAAGCCTGTGTGACCTGTAGCGTTCACCCTGTGATTGGCTTATAAAGCAGGGTAACTCTCACTGGGGTGCAGAAACTCAGTCCCTCCACATTCAGCACTACTGCTTTCATGCCCACGTCTGGCAAGGCCAGTGAATACCATCTAGAGGAATGAAGGGTTTCATTAGGTAAGCAGACACCCCCAACGCTTTACTTCTGCCCGGTTTGGACTGTGCTGTTATTTGAGGTGGATGAGGGAAAATTCATGCTAGGAAGCTTTCCCGTTTCTTTTGAAGAAGGTGATCTATACCTGGTATCTTTTGACAGAACTGAAAATGTGGCCTTTGTTGAAATAACTGTGCATATTCGTGCAAAAATGCAAATGTACTATTATTTTTAAGCAGGGGAGAGACATCACAACTACTTAAGTGTTCCTAGGGAAATCCAGGAATGACCAGCTCACATTTTCCCTTCTGGTGATTATCAGATCTTTTAAGTATATAACCTGAGCAACATAACAAGACATTTATGCTTGTTTTGAAAATTCGCACCATGAGTTTACAGAGAATTTTGTTTCACTGGCTCACTCTACGCTAATACCTTTGATAACTTCTGCTCTCAGGACAGATACTTGTTTGCTCCGACTGCAGTCATTGGACTAAGGCTGTGTGCTGCTACCAGCACTCTTTTTGAGCAGTTATTTGTGTAGTTGCATTTTCCATGCGCTGAGAGTTTCTACGAAACAAATCATTTTCTTCTCATACAAAAAATATACCTAACTAAGATATTTATCCCCTGACAAAAGGCTATCCATTCCACAAAAGGTACAAATCAGTTTTTTTTTTTTACCAAAAAATCTATAAATGGAAAATGAAAAAAAAGCAATCCATATCTGGAACCCAGAGGGATTTCCTTATGTGGATGAATGGATGTTTTGGTTTTTCATTTTATTTTCAAATTATCCCCTCACTGCCATTTGTTAACTGGCACTTGTGCTAAGAACAATAATGTAGCACCTTATCTCTTCCAAAAAAAGAGAGAGCCAAATGTCTGAGCACTGCTGTAGGTTCGCATTTTGTGTTGAATATTTCAATTTCATAAAATACAATTGTCATTTAAAAATAATAAAAAAATCACTTACTTTGCTAAAGATCAAACATAATGGAAATAATGTAAACATCCAAAAACTTGAATTCATTCCTAACTGGATTCATCTTTACAGGCAGGCAATAGCAAAATGTTAAGTCTCATAGCAGTCCAAAGAAACTCATGGAACAATGCATGCATTTTCATTGACACAAAAAAAGACTGGACTGTAAGGAAGAGAAACTACTTCAGTCATATCGCACTGTTATTGTGAAAGAATAATGTGCTATAATCCAATATCTAGGACAAGTGTATACCCCAACTGTAGAATAGCATCACTTAAACTGGAAACAACAGAACAGATTACTATAGGAAAATATTTATAAAATACTGTACACCGCTTCGTCAGTCGGCCAGCATATGTAAACAAACAGCTAAGTTCAGTTGAGTTTCAAAATATTATTAAAGTTCATTTATCTTATAATCTTTTGCATAACATGCCAGTTCATCTTTCACACTATCACAACTCACCTGTCACAGCCCACAGTGGCTCATTAGAGGTTTAGACTTCAGTTCATACAGACATTTAAGTGGAGCTATACAGAGAAATGTGTGAAACATACCAAACTTACACACTGTGACCAGAAATGCATATTCCATATGTAAGCTAATAATTGGATAGTGGAACTTAATGCTTGATGCAACATGTGCTATTTTATTGAATGTTACAGATTTACAAACAAGACCTTATAACGTGATATTAAAACTGTCCTGTAACGTTCACTAATATTACCACATGTCACAACTGTACTGGCTTATATATGGGAGATATGTATATATGTGTGTATATATATCTATTTCGTAAGATATCTTTTGATACAGAATATGTCATATGGCACATGCTATAGCTACATGATGATGGATGGTAAGACTTCTACTCTCACTAAATGGTCATAATAATATCGTGAGTGGGAAATCTGGTCCCATTGCAAGGAATGGGTGTTTTACCATCAAATTCAAAAAGGAGCAGTTTGATGCAATGTGTAAAAAACAGGTGAAGATAAAATAATCTAACATCCATCATAATATATTCTATAGACACCACATTGTAGAATAAATGGGAAAGATTCAGGAAAAGTAGTTTCTGACATCTTGCAATCACACTTTTAACATCTGAATTTACAATTTATATATAATGGCAAATTTTAAGAGGTAAATAAAGTGTCCTGTTTCATTTTACCTGGATTGTGTGCTCCAGATCAATAAAGTGCTGTATCCTAAACATTTATACAGCTTCTGGGTTTGGCAAATTCCTTTACCCTGACAAACTAAGCAATGAAATCTACCCCAGAGGAGAGCCCTATGCCTTGAACTAATTCACTAAGCGCTGTTGGGGAATTTCTAATGAATCTGGAGTTCCTCTAGAGTAGGCCAGTAATATGGTGAAGGTGGAAGAGTCCACGAACAGTTTTAGCAGACATTCGTAAAACTAACAAAGAAAACAAAGTGAGAATATCCCCCTCTACTCACCAAGGATAGATAGATTTGGAGAAGCCTTAGGAAAAGGCTGCTAACAAAAGTTGGCACATTTGAAGCAGATTGTTAAACACAAGTTCCTTCGCCCCTGGGCGTTCTGCTATTGTTCAACAATCAGCCTGTCACAAGCATGCTTCATAATGCACAGAAAGGTTTCTGACCTTTCTCGGTGTTGCCATGTGACTGTAACGCTGCACATGGACTGCAAGGCAATTGCATAAACACGGTGTCTTGGTGGAGTTTAGCTCATTGAAAGCCTGATCAAATAGAAGAAAGCAAGGAACACGTCGGTGCAGGAAGTATGAAACACATTGTGCTTAAAGTCCCCATGCTGCATTTCTTTATTTCCTGAACTTTCCAACGTAGTGACTCGGTACCTAAATGTTTTCATCTTCTTTGCCTCTTTTCTTGAGGCTGATGATTATTTTTATGTCTGGATTTGTTGCCTTTCAGACTTAGCTTTCATACAGTGCTCAGAGTCTCCCAGGGTGAGATCCCAGTGAGAAAACATCAGCCTGCATTTTCAAAGCTGCCTTAGAGATTTGGAAGATAGTTCCCATTTAAATAACGGGAAGTATGTACCCCACTCGCATATGTTCATTTTTAATTACAAAAAGGAGCTGGTTCTACACAGATGTTGGTCATTGTAGAGATGTTTTAATTTTTAATAGCACTAGCTTCAACTCTTTACAAGCTTAAAAGTTGTGCCTTCATAAAGGATGTGAAATTTTGATCCAGTTGCAGTTTATGCTTCTCCACCCTTTTCCTATCTTCTGCACACCCTTTCACCTGTGACCACTGTGGTATCTTCTCATGAGAAGTTTGAAACTCTGGGTGACACTGTGGACCCTTGGAACGTGGGTAGGGTCAGTGGAGTTACGATTGTCTTCAACCAAAACCTGTAACTGCACTACCGTTCAGATATACTTTCTCCTACTAAAATGCATGTTGTGTGATATGCTGCTGAACGGTGGAAGCCTAGTTGCAACTGATGGCTTTTGCTGTTTACAGACACCTGCAGCTTCACTGTGGTTCTTTAACTTACCTTAAAAGCATATATACTTTTTAGTGTTTTCCAGTTCTCTGCCAAGAACATTTTCCCTTAAGCAACTTCAGACTAATTGCATTCATCTGGATTCAGATAAATCTTGTATAAATCTTGTATACTTTAAAGTGTTCAAATATGGCCATGTCCTCATGAAAAAAAAAAAAAAGGTAAGGTGTATATTTTTAGGTGAGGGAATGATGTGAAAAATCGGCAGCTCAAATGGAACAGCAAGAAGAGCATGGTAGCAGCCGGGTGGATAAATCTCCACAGTTTGTATACGTAATTAAACAGAGCAGTGAGAACTTGACAGTATTACGGTGCTCTGCTCTGATCACCCTGTTCTTACTGTTCCATCACATCCTTTGATTTAGTGAGACAACATATTGATGACAAATGTGGTAAAAAAATAAATATATACTATTCCGCTTAGTTACATTCATCCTGAGCTTGCTCAGCTGTGCTAGAATCTAGAATGCCTGTTTTATACAGGAAATCACCTGATATTTTAACATAAATTCTTCCTCTGTTTAAGTTGCAGTACAAAAGGCATTTCATTTCCCTTTCTGCTCTTGAGAATATAAACTTTTTGTGGCACTAGAAGTTGATACAAAAAGACACAAGTGAACGTTATGGTGGTTATCTTGTCATCTTTCTTCATTTCCACAAGTGTGGGATGCAAGGGATTTGGGAGACTTTAGGTTTGTTTGCTGCCAGTTCCTACAGAAATAACAAATGCTTTTCATCAGTCATCACAAAGGTGAAACAGATGAAAAAGAAGTCGTGACTGAAGTTTAGAACATCTAGTTTGTACATCTCTTTTTGCCAGTTAATTCCTGCATCCTAAGAACTTGAATAATGATCAAAGATCTTAGGATACCTTCTAATAAAAGGCAGATTTCTGAACCTACTCATTTATTTCTTGTGACTTCATAAAGGGGGCTTGTTGTTCCTGTTGTTTACTGAAGTCTTTGTAAAGCTTTCATCCCTCCCTTCTTCCTTAAGTGCAAATGTCAACTGGGTCAAGATGCAGTAACTCAGTGGGTGATGCTGAGACTGACGATGTGCTCCCTTGACCGGTGCCTAATGCCAACGGGAGTTGACACGGGGTGACGTGAAGTTTTTTTTTTATTCTGCTAAGAAAATTTGACTGGAGAGCAGATGACCCTTAGACTGCCGGTGAGCTTTGTCTAGGCCTAGCTATGTTTGCTTTCAAAGCTGCGGAAGGCTCCCGTTCTTGACAGTCTCCTCATGGACAGGTTGTCCCCTCTGCTCTCTGGCCTCGAGGACTTACTCCTCTGGAAGGGATTTCGCAGGCCTGTTGCGTTTCGCTGTCTGTCAAGTTTGTCGCTGATAGAGTAGCTCTTCCGCGTGTGCTGTGCATACAACATGTTGGACTCCTCTGCAGAGTAGCTGTTGGCCCGCTCTATTTTTGGAAGTGGGATGCTGTTGGCCAGAGTTCTTGTAGCATTGCCGTCTTGAGGAGATAAGGGGATGCCCTTCTTGTCTTTGGCCTCAATATCCTCATGATCAGAGCTCGGGTGGCTTAGTTCAGCTTCTCTCTCTGGGTGGCAGCATCCCAAGTCCTCCATTTTGCCCCCGAGACTTCCAGGGAAACTGGCCCTCTCTGCGATGGCCTGGGGAGCGCTCACACACCTCGTGTCTATGCAGTCCGTAATGCTTGTGTACTCTGCTGTTTTGACTGGGACACCAAGGCTGCTGAAGTAGCTTCGGGATGGAGAGAACATAAAACTGTGAGATTTCACAATTGGCGTTTCCTCCAGAATAAATGGAGTTGTAGCCAGATAACGACTGCTTTTAGATCGCTCTAAAGTGTGATACAAGGGAGGGTCTGAATCCCAGGGGATTTGACAATCTGTGATTTGCGAGTAGTCTGAAGAAAATGCTCTTGTTTCTATTCCAGAGGTTTCCTCGTAATCAAGACTCCTGCCAGAAATTTTTTCTCCAGGTGTAGTGCTAATGTACGCGCTGTTAGCTAAAATAGAAGAGGCTATGTGAGCCTGCAGAGCTGCATCTCCGGTACCGAGAATATTTACGGAGCTGTCGAGAGGCTCTGTGTCAGAATGCATCTCATCCATGGCAGAAACGTAGATGTCTATACAAGACGAAGGCCTTCTGGAGTCTGGGGCAATCGACAAAGTGCTGGCGGGGGCTAAGGGAACTTTTCCTTCCTTTGCTATCGAGTGGGAACTGATAGCCCGATGCAAGCTTGGAGATCTTTCCTGAAAAATGCTTTCAAACTTTTCCAGCCCACACTTCTCCTTCATATTTGTTGCATAGAAAGAGTGGCTTCGCATGCGGGGCGTGATCGTAGGAGACGTTGGGGACATGGACTCCTCTCCCGTGGGATCTATGCTTTCTTGAAGCTTGTAAGTATTTCCTTCCTGACTATTGAAGCTACTCTGCCTCACAATGTAGGCTGCATCAGTACAGTCGGATGAGGTCCTGGATCGTATCTTGGTCGTCTCACCTCTCTCTATGCCAGTCAGTTTTTCTAAAGCGGTCACCATTCGTCCCATCATATCTTCCAGCTGGGCAAGCCTGATGTCAACAGTCTGCAGAGAGGCCTTCATGCAGTGCTCTCGCTCATTTACTTCTTCCAGTCTCATGGCCATGTTCTCTACCCTTAAAAAAGGGAAAAGTTAAACAGGTTAATTTCTATAAAGCAGTGATGTTCAGCTATTGGTCACCAAAACAAACGGGAACAAATAGGTCTTAAAATTCAAAGCCAATCTACACCACCTCATCTGCTTCAAAACCCTGCTAAAAGAGGTTCAGCAAACAAATACCACTTGCTCAGAAAACTGCTCCAGTGGGTTAAACCAGGGGTGTCTGCTGCGATAGGTAGAGGGGGTTTGGGGTGTGCCCTATCCCAGGGAGAAGGGTTATTACAGAAATGTTACTATGATTTGCTGCCTCTCTGCTGCCAAAACTTCTAATTAGGTTGTTATGAATGAATAACACTTTGAGCAGATGCCACATGACGTTGTCCCCAGTTGTGCCACAGGGAGGACCACCGCAGTTAACGGCAGAACTAAAGGAAGTAATGAAAGTGGGCAATATGCCATAGAAGGTGGGTAACATCCCATTTTTTTTCCGGTGTTTGCCCCAGATTTGCACCAGCTAGTGCTATGTGGACCTAAGGAGATACTTTCTTTGTTCTCTGATTAATTTTTAGCACAGATATATAGAAAAAAAATGTATCAGCTATTGTATTGAATGTAAGTAATAACAAGTAAAGTATGCATGAAAACTGCAGGGAGGAGAACACTGATCAAACCAAATACAGCCTACAATAGGTTACAGAAACTAAGACTGCTCCATTAGTGTGATTGTGCTTTGGGTAGTCTGTGTTAATAGTTTAGGGATTGAAATGATGGATTTTAAAGTTATTTATTAGCTACCTATCATAATATATAAATACTAAGTTAGATTAAAGTATTAAGAGATAATAATTGAATGTGTGATCCTAATTTAAACTTCACTATATCTGTTCTACACTGTTGATCTGTCATTTTAAAACGTTTTCGACTTTAAGGTGAATTGGGTACTAATTTATGCTGGTGGCTTTCAACCATTTCAATTATCTGGCTTCTAAACCGTCTCTACTGAAGGATTTATATGGATTCCTCTAATTTTACACAATGAAATTGCCTTTAGCACATATGAAATTTCTTCTCATAATTATTTTCTCTGGTTGTAGTCCCTAGGCTAGACCATGGACGTCCATTATCTGCCAAAGAAGTATTAAAAGCAACACATTTATATAGTTATCTTTGATTTTTAAGGTTACAATTCTGGTTTTCCCCATTCCTGTAGACACTGAAAAATGAACAGAAAGCAACAAATAGCAAATGGCAGGATTTCCGCACTTTTCTCTTCACAAGTCTCTTACTCTCTGCCTGTTAGTGCAATTCATACTCAAATGTTAATAGGTGCCCTGTCAATCATAGCCAGGATTTCTGATGAGGTAAATATCTTCAACTACTGCTAGTTGAATTACCAACAGGATGAGTGATCTGGAACTGGCAATGCCATAAACACTCATACTTGCCCAGAAGGAAACCAGATTTTAGCAATGAATGAGTATTGGGCAGCATTAATGCCTTGTTAATTAATGCACAGAACTTCAGCTGGTGAAACACGGAGGTCTGACTACCTCGTGGTGATGAGCAACAGCAACCCGCCCGCACAAGAGAGGAGAGGGAGGAGTGTGACACCACTCCCTACAACAAGTCTCACATTCCTGTGAAATACGGGCTTTTTCTGTTGAAGATCGTGAGTTTTGAAAGCACAAGCACAGCAAATCAAATGTGAAGCAGTAACTGTATGGCTGTCATCAGACTTCAATAGGTGAATGATCAAGTAATCACTGCTAAAAAATGAACCACTGGTTTCAAAGAATCTCATTCTACTCATCTTATAATCATTTAGGCACCAGTCTACCTGCAGTTCTACCAACTTCTCCAACAAAATAGATTAATGTTATTGCAAGCACAGCATATAATTCCTTAGTGAGAGAGCAGTCTATATGGGAAGCAGTTGAATTTTCCCTCATGTTATTAGTTATCTGAACTGCTATTTTATAAAAACAATTACACTTTTGAAATATTTATCAGCTAATAATTGAGTGTCTCATCACATGTTCAGATTCTGTAACAACTGCTCTAAGATGATGAACAGATATAACATCACAATTTTAGGGCTGTCAGCCACATAGAACAATTTGAGAAACTTCCTAGATTTTACTTGAGAATGCTCAGATTATGACCAACGGAAAACATTCACCCCAGCAACAGTTACCTAAGAACTGGAATGAATTTATAACATTCTGTGAAGCTAACTGGATAGTCTTCGATTTTTTTTTTTTTTTTTTTTTCTTTGAGAGATGTACACAAGTGAAATAATTTTTAATACAAACATAGCTAGTTGAATTATTGCACTTGGTTACATATTTGTGTCTGGAATATGAGTAGAACTGTCCATAGTGAGATAAGTTTGGCATCCTGCATTCATGTAAAGGCTATGCAATGCTAGTGAACGCAACTAATGCATCCCAAGAAGAACCTAGAGTCATACCTTGGTGGAACACATTCATATATTTGTCCTGCCTTCCCTGAACATGATCTATTAGCTGCTGCCAGAGGCACAGGGTGTAAGACTGGTGGTATTGCTGGCCAAGACGAAGAGCGACTTTTAAGTTACATGGCCTGTTGGTTGCTATGGAAGTAATCACAGATGTGACTGCATTGATAGTAGTGGGAAATTTATATAGAAACTCAACAAGATAAGGATAGTGCAGTCTGGGTTCAGAAACTAGGGATAACCAGAGATGTGCATAGATAACTAAGAAGTACGTACATGTATTTAGACTGGATGGGCCCTGACTGCATAATTTTATTCACAAAAAGAAAGCTTGAGTGATGTCCTCCAAACCTAAAGCTATTAGCTGGATTTAGTCACCTTTTTTTATATATGTTGCATATGGCCACTCTCAGATTTTTTAAAAGATATTTATTCTTTTAATTAGTGATATTCTCTTATATTAATTTGATGTTCAGTTCTGCAATCATTCATCACACAGAACAGCACCATGCTCTGGGAGTAATCCTACTAGAAACATGATAAAATCACATCAGCCAAACACTGTGGACATAAGAGGATATGTTCTGGAGAAATACAGTCATAATCTGGTCCTTAAAATGTTTTAATAAGTGAAATTTTCTATTTTCCTGTAGTGTTGGATAATCTTGCACTCAGTGAATAGAGAGCAAGAGCTGTATTTCCTTCAGGAACGGTTTTGAATTAAAACACTATTTCAAAGTAAGAATGCCCAAGTTTTGCTTTGGATTTTTTTTCCATGTGTATTGGAGATAGCATAAACCTTTTGGCAAATTTCACAATATCCATGTATGACGCCTCCATTGCACCTGTGCTTTTCCTTACAGCAAGATTTATCCACCGTATGAGAAGGTGCCAAGCCATCCTAACAGATGGGAATGAGAACAGAAAAAGAGGAGGCTACATGTAAAAGGTGCATCAAGTGTGTTCTGCTGAAGCTCAGAAATTTCTAATAGTGAAACAAACACGGACTATCTGAGGACAATATTCAGTAACCAGAAAAAAAAAAGGTCAGAACTGGGAACCTGGCAAAGATTTTATATTACCTGTGACAAGCCTATTTAATTATGGTTTGGGAGATGATGGCTTTTGCTGGCATTCATTTTGGTTATATTTATTTTTAACCTTTGCACATCAGTTCATCAATAATTTAACTGAAGTAATGATTTAATGGGAGTAAGGCACTCTTTTCAGAAGTACAGATCTTAATTGAATGCTAGAACTAGGTTCACAAGTCCCTTTGTGAACCTATGTCCGTTTTCAAGGCATCATTTATACTTCAAAATCCTTTTTAACTGCCGCAAAGACTGTCGACACTGAAAGTCACTTACAGGCGTCTCCACCGTGCTTGTTATAGGTGACTGCAGAACAGTTTTATTTAAATAAAACATAGACAGCAGTTCCCAAGCCTGTAACAGGCTATTGATACTTTGATTTTGGTAAAGCATTGCTGATGCAAGTGGCCAGACAGTTTTCCCAGGAGCGGTGTTTCTGCAGGCTAAGGTCGTTGGGTTGTCCTGGCTGCGTTCCCATCTGGTGCCTAAGACCACTCAACTCTCTGTGACCACAGAGAGATGCCGCCAGATTCACAGACTTTTCCTGCTGTTACTCTGCATGCGTGGCCAGATCTGGTAGGCTCACTAGCGGCCCTTTTACCAGCTCAAACCTATTTCTGTGCACTTCAGCCTGCCACCTCTGAAATCAAGATAATAATGACGTTTTCATTCACATGGATGCTGTTAGTGTAATTGCACTGCAGTGTTAAGGTGCTGTAGTAATGGACACCATATAGTATCAAAGATGACATAGTAATATCTACTCCAACCAGCTTATCTGCTTTTTAAATATTTTTAGGATGTGACCCTGCTCCCTTTGGAATCAACAAGAGGTTTTGCATTGGGTTTGAAAGACTTGAGACCTGTCCATATGGAAAAAATGCCTATCGAAGAGATTGTTTTAGTGGCTTCATGTCAGATCAAGAAAAATTGTGCAGTCTTTTTTGATCATATTACACATGTCTCTGTGCTGGTCAAACTGTGCCACTGAAAGTTTTACAGTGATTAGAAAGGAAGGGTCTCCAGGAAAAGTTGTGATTCTTCTGCTGCAATGAAACGAATTTGTCCAACTTTGCTTTCCTCACGGGTGCCCAGGACATTCACTAAGATTTGTGTAACCTGATAAATGCAGTTAAGGGAAACACCTTTCAGCTTTGTACTGCTTTGTATTTTTCGGCTTAGTCAATCGCTTCCTCTGATGTGTATCACTAACCTGCTGCTACTTCCATGTACCTGTGTGAGGTCCTAGCTAGTGAGCTACTCCTCCAAGTTACTTAGTACCTAGGGTTAGGGAAGGGCAAACACCAAGTGTCGTTTCATGCTTTTAATTTCTGAATGTGAAAGGATCAGGTAAAGGAGAGATTCTGTGTGGTGACACCAAACCTGGACACGTCTGTGGTGTTCTTTGTTACAAGAGAAGTAAGGCCCCAAAGGATGCCAGGGTGTACTATTCCAAGGTGAGAGTATAAACTGCAGCTTGTTGTAGGTGAGTCAGACAAGACACTGTGGTCCTGACCCAGTACAGCCACTGACCACTTAGCTGAAATCGTTCATTTACACCCAGATCAATGCAGCAAGAAACAGGATCCCTTGTTCTTTTGTTTTCCTGAGCTCCTAACCTGCCTCTGGGACCCACCTAGGCTGAGCCTCAAAGCAAGATTCTGTTCCCATCCCCCGTTTTCCTGCCAGTGCTAGCCCCCTACTCCCTCTTCCAGGTGTACTGGGCTTTGCACCTACGGTGTGCAGCTGTTCTTCCTCCAGGCAGGACCTGGAGCACTCTGATAAATCCAGCTGCAAGTAGGAGCTGCTCAAGTAGAAGCTGCTCACAGACGCGTGGAGGAGAGGGAAGGCAGTAAGTGGTCCAGGTCCAGGTGCAGGTACGTCACACAGGGCTTGTCCCAGCCCTTCCTTCTCCTTGACCCTAACAGCATCCTCAGTTTCCTGCAAATGGAAGGTCGGTCTTCAGGGGGAACTTTACTCACATTTGCAGGGCTTTCTGGTTTAATTTTACACCATGTATAGCTGAGTTAATTGTACAGATGATTAAGCTGATATCTCGTGGCTATCATGTAGGTATTGTGCTTGGTCTAGTACTACAGGCTAATGACTGGACACTGGAAGAGAAACTGTGTAGTCTTGCATCTCCTCTGTTTTCTTTGCTTTGCCTCTTGTTAATTGTACAAAGATGTTTCTATATAGAAACTCTAAAGTGCAATCTGGATTTTAAATATTTGAATGATCCACAGGTTATAAAAAAGAAGTTTGATGGTTTAGATTAAGAACACTTCAAGGGATACTTGCCTGGCCATAACTGCAGGCAAAATGACAGACCTGGGCATCCAGTTTTAAAAATGTGTGTTATTTAAGATACTTAGATGGCCTCGATTCCTCAAACATCTTTAAAATATTCCTCAGATCTGTGAAGTATTTGCACTTGCCTTGTGTGGTAGAGCGTTGCAGTTGGTTTGGCAAGGAGAGAAGAGAGCTATTATGAGATGAGAACTGTGTTCACCTGGGATTTCATTGCTGCAAGTCCTAGTAGTGTGCTTGGGTCCGGGAGTAGCCTCTGTACCCCATGGGGTTGCTACCTGGGTCTCCCTTACAGAGCTGGTAATGGGGCATGCTGGTTTCCACATTACACTATTGGCTAAGGTAAATGGATTTTTAAAGAACTATTTCTCTGTGGGGCTCAGGTGCTTGTCTTCATTTAGGATTCATAATCGTGGACTCTCTTCTGGAATGAGGTGCTTTAAGCCATTCACTTAAAATAGAGATAAGGGCTCTTTTCCTATAAAACAGAGCCAGCACAGAGTGCAAAGGCAGACTGTTATGTATTCATATGTATTTTCAAGGACTTAGAGCACTTGCCTAATTAGGGGAGGTCCCAGCTGGATTACTTCTTATTTACAGAGGCTTCAAACATACCTCTTCTTTCCTTGGCCACCAAAAGGAAAGCTATGCCTGAACAGAGATTTGAATTTGCATCTATGATTTTCAGGTTAGTTCGCTGACCACTGGACTATCAGAATACAAGAAAAAAAGGTACTCAGACAACTGATTGATTTAGCCCACTATCTTACTTTGAAACATATGTAATTCTTTCCCCCTTATATTCTCCAGTCTCTAAAACGTTTTCTGCTCAGGAATTTCATGGGCTCAATAAGATCTCTATGTATTTAGCAGTCCTTACTGGCTTTCTCTTCCATAAGCTTGTCTAGTCTCTGTTTGAACCTGTGTAGTCTTCTAGCTGACATCACCATCTTCTTTTAGACCTCATCAGCTTTTGAGAATTTGCTCTGTTCCACTACTTACTGCATGAAAAAATCACCTATTTTTGTTTATTTTGAACCTGGGCCCCTGCTAGATTAATCTGTCGCTGCCCTATATTTTGTTCCGGGAGAGACAGCAAACAATTGATTTCTACTCACCCTCTCCTTGCACTCACAATTGTATAGATCTCTATCATTTCATTCCTCACTTGTCTCTTCCAGACCAAGTAGAGCTGGATTACTCGGCTATTCTTTACAAGGAAGCCATTCCATGCCTTACCATACTTCCCCTCTAATATCCTTTTCTAAAATATGTGTTTTGGGGTGTTGTTTTCAGTAACGCAGATGATTAAAGGATATTATATCGGCTAATCCTGCTCTGGGATAGATTTATTTCAAAATCAAATTAAAAGCGTGATTCCTTGCCTAGAGAAAACATATTTTAGGTATAGCTGCATCAGGGGCAGTGCTAGAAAATTATGTATAAGGAGAAGAGTGTTATATCTGTGTAATCGATTACAATGACAACTCACCTGACCTCTGTTATTCAAGTTAAAGTGGAGTATTCGGGGAATGGAGTATTCAGTGGTTCATAAGTTTTATGAATATCTGACAGGATATTGCCTTAAAATATTTATTGGTAACAGTGCTATGAATCAAACAACAAACTCTGTCCTCAAAATTTAACTCTTGCTCAGTTGCTGTGTGATAAGAGCATATAAGCACCACAGCAGATGAACAGATTTATGAATTTTTAGGACTGATGAACTTGAGGACTGGCAACTTCCACTAAATTAACGTATTACCTTTGTCCTCTGTGCATTTCATTGCTGTAGGTGAAATGTCTAGTTTCTTTTAAATTAATGGCAAGATGCTTGTTGCTCTCAATGAAACTAGCTTACCTAGCAAGGCCATCCTGAAACAAGGCTTGCTCTTTATTTGAATGGCTAGCAGGTCAGTGCTAAAGCCATAGTTTTCACTGGGGAACTCTCATTTACTCTCCCATTGTGTTCTGACCACCTGTGCCTTAAAGTTCTGCTTTAAGAACTGAAATGCAAGAATAATTTGTGTTTCTCCCTACGTCAGTTGTGTTCTAATACAACTGGTTAAAGATTCACGTTTTCAAAACTTTGACGAACATTTGCTTTAGCAAAAAGAAAAAAAGAGAAAAGAAATTCACCATCTTTTATCACTCTACTTTTTAGTTAAAACTTATTAAAAAATACCTCAAATGTTTCCCTTTCCAAGAAAAAGAAAGGAAGGGTGAGAATGGCAACAGAAACGTATTTCCAGATCAACTTATGAGAGAACAAACAAAAAAAGTGCACCTTTCTGAAGTGACGCGGATTCTTTCATCATTGGAGGAATTGAATCTGTCATCCTTTTCTCTAAAATACTCTTCTATGCACTGCTCTTCAAAATCATGGACTTTTTTCAATTCATCCTCAGTTATGAAAAGTTCTGTGGAAACAATGGAAAAATGTGAATTTGGCAAAGATTAACACGTGAAATTAACTACATTCTTCTTATTGTGGAATTCATGGACTAGACTTTCAAAAGCAGGCTCCAAATTTATCTGGCGTTTTGGTGTGAAAGCAGATAGATGCAGCTAATTACCAAATTAGTAGCTTCAAATATATATGATTCTGGAGACAGAAACACTTAAGCACGCAAACACTGAGCAAACATGAATGTCTTTTGATTGCATGAGGTCTAAACACAGCTGCTGGTCAGGTCCTAGAGAGACAGTGGGAGCCAAAGCCCACCTGTAACCTAATACAGATGTAATCAAATTAGCAGACTGCTAGGAGAGGAGTCTGAGAGTACAGAGGATTTATTTGACATGGCAAGAGCTGATATCTGCAGGCAGCAGCAAGGGCTGTGGCAGACACTGTGATGTGAGTGGGAGGAGAGCGGTCTGGTTGCACTTGCATCTCCAGTGCCACCACATGGCTCCAGCTCCCTCCTCACAGAGAAGTAGGCTGTGGCATGGGCTAATGTTGGGAAAAGATGCACATCCCTTAGCTCCCTGCCTCTGGCATATACATTGGGGAGGATGGAGATCTTCTACTCTGAAGAACTAGATAGAGAAGAGGAGAGAAAGTGTTATCAAAATAATCTGACAGGTTTTCCATCATGCTTATGGGAGTTCATATGAAAGTATCTGGAGAAACTACTCCGCCAGTTTGAGTCACTGTCAACAAGAGAACATGTGTCTACAACACAATTACTTCTCACCATCTCTCAGCTTATCTAGGCAAAAAGTGTTTTTTGGGGAAGTATGTGCTGGTTGCTCAAAAAGTATGAATACTCTCTCTGTATTTTCAGAAATAAAACTGCGATCCGGAAGTGCGATGGGCAGTAAGAAGAATTCCAGCAATAACAGACCTCTAGCAACAGCAAAACAAACCCTTTTGCTCTGAAGGAACAAAGAGGGGAACAACCCCCCAAAATCCCAGAAAAACATAGCCTCATTAACGCTCTGAGGAGAACTAAGGGTTGGGCAATGCAGGTAAAACTAACTGATTCAGGTAAGATTTTTGCAGTTAGAAGTAGTTCTCTGCTGGAAAGGTTATCAAGGTGCTGAACATAGCCTTCATTCATGTCAAATACTAGATATTACCAAGGGCATTGGAAAGTCCCACTCTGCAAGTTGTCTAAGGCTTACTTAATCCATAGTCTCTCTCATCTGGGTCGCTTTCATGCTTCCGCCATCTGCAGCAGAGGTGTTGGAATATCATAGTCATATGGCTGAAGATGATCAGAGGTGGTGGGAGAACAGGTCTTTCATGAAATGTCATGATTAGCTGATATCTTTGAAACTTCCATACTTGGTTGGATATGGATTTGACTTCAAAAAATGTATTGCTAGAAGGCAAGAAGAGGAAAATAACATCAGATTGAAATGGTTTTAGGTACTTTGCTGAAGATGATGTGGCAGCACCTTAACTAGACACATTTCACTAATAGTGGCAAATGTTTTCTTGTCGCAAAAAGAGGATGAACAAAAGAAATGAGTAAGTTTATGCTTCAGCAAAGCACAGTGGCAATCAGCCTTTTCAAAGTATCTTACTACTGTGTACGTCTGCTCTGTACAACCACTGAGTCTTACAACAACCCAATGAGACAGGAAAGTATTTTTATTCTTGTTTTCCATATCAGGAGTGAATGGTGCCATAACTGAACTGTAAAATTTTTGCCTTCTCTACCCTGATTCCCATCGGGTGTCTGTCCTTGGAAATGAGACAATGTGAAGAACTTGGCATTTCCCTCATTCCCTGGAGACAAGCTACTGCCTCTTTCCCTCTCACCCTCACATCTTCTGAAAATGGGTCTCAGCCAAAGTCTCCAGCTTGGCAGCCTTCTTAGGCTGTGAATAATGTCCGTTCTGCCCAAGTCCATACTTCGCAATGTGTCACTCACTTGAAAACAGCAATGAGGAGGTTCACCAAAAGGATGTTTGCAACCAAGAGGTAACAGGCCATGATGGCAGGAACGATCCATGCTCCTGTCTTGCAGGGAGGTAGCTGGATTATTTTGCCATCTTCTCTGGTTTCATTTTGACCACAAGGAGCTGGGAACAAAAATGCAAAAAAGTGAAAAATGGGAATAAAGCTTATTTTTTCAGTGCTTTTTACAGAAATATTTAAATATTTATAAAGGCCTGCCTGCCAAAGAAATATCTTCCAAATAACAGTGGCGTTGATGCTCCCCCAAAGAAGTTTGCACTTGCTATCACAGATTTTACTGTGCAGTTCTTGTTATTGTGTGTTATTTGCCATGAATATCAAGATATTCCCCTCAGAAATTGCAGGAGACATGCCTGGCGCGGGTAAGCTGCCTGGTTGCATACAGCTGAAATATCATGGTACTCTGGTAGTAATTAGTGTCTGTGCCAGGTAAAGGGACATGTAGGCAGCAGAGTTGCCACCTGTTTCTTCTCCGGATGCTTTGAAACCTAAACATCCTCAGTATTAATGTTGTAGAACTGAAGCAAGGGGAGAGAAAACATTGTGAAATAGTTTTCCTTGTTTATTTTTTTACGTGCCTTCATGTGCTGTGGTGGGTGATCTGCATTTGCAAGCATGGCTTCAGTTATGTCTTTCTAGCCTCAGTCCTAGTGGTTCTAAGTACCTCTGCAGTCAGCTCCTCAAGAAAATAATTGAAGAAGCAGCTTACATATGCAAACCATCTTAGTAAATTTTGTGCAGCACTACAGCTAGCTTCCTCTTGTCCCCATCAAAAAGAAACTTAAGTGAGGAATTTTCAAAGTGCTTAGGACTGGCTCGGTGCCTGCTGATATCAATGAGAGTTTCCCACTGACTTCATGGACAACAAAGTTTGCCAATGAGTATGTTTTTTTAAAATTCCACCCTATGTCAACAAATCCATTATTTCCAATATCAACTATTACTTCTTCTCAAAAGTGTCCTTCTGAACTTGGTTTACAGAGCATGGGATTCAGCTGTGGGTGTCTGTACTGGCAATCATATGATACGTGTGATTTGGGTACTTGGTTTTGGGCAGTACATATAGTTGTTAGCTATTACACATAAATATTATAGCCATATGGGACAGAAGAATACATGATACATCAGCTTCAAACAAGAACTCTCCCAAAATATTCAACTCACAGAAAAAGAAATGGCAAAGCCAAATACAAGCAATACTATTTTTACAAGCAGCTCTGGTGTGTCTGGACCCATGGAGTCACTAGTCCTTCCTACTTAAAAAAGTACATTTTATTACGGGCACAGGCTGAGAGTATGCAATTCTTTATTTCTCAGAAAGCATCTCCTTGCAAATCGTTTTAAGTTAGTGCTGATTTCATGCTTCCTGCACTGCTCCAAGCAGTGGTTTCATTTAGACATTCAAAATGCCATCTGAGAGCTGCTGTAAGTGCAGGGGCTATGTGCACTCAGCCTTCACCCAGCAGAAATTGGGACATTCAATACCTCTTGGTATCAGCACTCAATGTGAGACTTACATTTCTGTTTGTGTGGAAACACTAACTTGCTCACATGTTGGTTCAGAGCTATGAAGTCCAACACAACAAAATACCAAAACCCATCATGATTTCACCAGTAACAGAACAATCACTATCAGTTGATGAAACCTGTTCTCCTTTTGTGTGCTGAAGAACAGAAGAAATAATGTCTTTTGTAGCAATGAGAGAAACTGGTGAAAACCATATTTTAAACCTTAGATCAATGAGATCAAACACTTAGCTCAAAGTCTGGTTGCAATTCTATTATTCCATTTTTTTGTATTGAAAAAAACCAATTTAATCTAAAAAAAAAATCAGCTTTGACAACTACCAAGACAAAATTATTTCTCCAGCTTTATTTGCCTACAGCAGAGTATTTAGAATACCATTAATGCATCCCCGTTGGTTTATGCCACACAGTGATGGCCAAATTAGACTTCCTACAAAGATAAGTTCCCATAGTCTTTTCTATATGTGCATAGATGTTCGGCTTGTCATGAAGGTTTGCAAAAGTTTTTCTCTTTTGCACATTCTGTCACGGGAACAGATTTTAAATAACAAGGGAATACTAATCTCATGCCTTACTTTATGGACAACTAAGCCACCACTTAATCTTCACATCTTCAGCTGCATGAGAAAATGTATGTTGTGTGTCCAAAATGCAGAAGCCTGTGTTCCACTGCATATCACTGAACACCTTCTTCCATCTTTAAACTATAACATTAATTTTAAAGGATTTTTTTTCCACTACTAAATAAACTGACTGTTTAAAATAATTACTCTCAGGAAACTAGAAACAGAAATTTCTCTCTCTGTGAAAACGGACAGAGGATTCTGGCAGGAGGCTAAAAGTAGCAATGATATTCTTTTTAGATAAAGAAGATACTTGTTTACATTTAAGAAATTAGAATTCTGTTTGTAGGATTCAAGAAGACTTTGTTATGGTAAGCCAGGACAGTTTGTCTCCCCCATCTGAGAATGTAGAGACCCAAGCACGTTTTATCTCCTTGTCACAGCGTGCTGGGGTAGTTTGCTTTCCCCCCGTCTGCACATACCCCTCCACGGGCGCCAACATGACAGCCAGCTGCGGATCTGAGAATTCGGACAACAGCACCTGCATTACATCAGCAAGTTCGCTAATGAGCAAAACAGGACATTGCATATGCACAATATGATAATCAGCGCAAGCGCAAGTTTTATTATCCACCCCTGCGGTGCTTTCCCTTGAGCTTCACTCCCGAGCAGGGCTCCACTGTGTCGGGTCCCCATTTGATTAGCGTTGGTGTCCCAGGGCTCCCACCATGGCAATGCTGCACTTTCCATAAAGCCAAAGCTTTCACCTGCTGAGTGCTGTGCCTCATCCCCGAGGGATCCGCACCCGCCTTTCATCTGTAACATGGTTTGACTATTTTAATTATGTTTAGAGAAATGCAGTAATTTTTGTAGTACGTGCAGAAACATATTGTGATAACAAACATTTTCAAAGCACAATTTTAACATGTATGAAAACACACTCATCTTTTTACATTACAGCATTGCTTTAACAAAAAATACATAAAAGTACTTAATCCTAGTGAAAAGTTTTGCTGAAGCAAATTTTGTTAGTATAACTATATGCCTATTTCAGTTAACTGAAAAACCCATACTGAAAACTGATACCTACAGGCCATTGGATAAAGGTCGACCATTAAGTCCTGAACTCAGGCTTTAAAAAGTAATAAATGGCTGGAGTTCTAATTTCACTTACACGCATTAACTTCACTCAGCTTTCAAATATTGCATCCTGACATCTGTGGATGTATGTATTTTTTGCATCTCTTGTTTCCTTTTTCACAATCTCCTCCTATGCTTGTTTTTCCTTCTTGGCTCCCATTTACGGTTTCCTGCATGGGCCTTTCCTGCTACATACCTAACCCTTCCTCTTTCCTGGCCAGCAGCTAATTGCAAAGCAAACAGCAGTAACCCACGCCTCTGTGTGTTTCAGGCCTAAAGTGGCAGCAGAGCTCGGGAAGAATTTGTTTCACTGCTGTAATTACTATCATGGCACGGGCACTGCTCATTTTTACTGGGTGTTGGGTGGAGGGCTTGGGAAACAACGCTTGCAAATTTCTGCGTCATGACTCTTCCCCGAGCTGTACCCTTCCAAAATAGTTGTGGGAAATAACAGAGGGAGGAAAGTGCATAACTGAAAGCTTCGTTACCAAATAGCTTTTTGCTTTTGATGAAAACGTCTCATATAAAAATGGATACCGCTTTTACAATGCAAGTTGATCTGTTTGAAATCACAAGAAACTGTGAAATGGGTTCATATGATCACAATTCTAAAGGAAACCAATAAGTGCACCAATAACTAACCAATCTATCTTTTTTTTTTTATTCAAGTCTGGATGTTTTAAATGCACTTTCATCTCCCTGTTTATGAGTATATAGGCACCTTCCAATTTTGATCTGCACTGAGCCCAAAGGTTGTGAAAGAATTTTAGAATTTTTTAATGAAATGCCTAAGCAACCTTACCAGCTTGCCAGCTTGGGAAATATTGAAAAAAGGCTAAGAAAGCTGCCTAGAGCTGTCTCAGTGTTCTTCATGGACAGAGAAAATACTGAACTCTGGGAACTCTGAATCTCACACCATTGCTCTGTTCATCAGCAAAAACATCCAGGGAATTGAACAGTGTCTCGTTACTTCAAAAAACTTGCTTTAACTACAGCATTGTGACAATTACATGTTGCTTCTTGCCCTCAGCCGCATTAAAAATGACTTTGAAGCGTCTCTCCAATCTGCTGGTATTTGAATCATAATTTATAGTAAATCCCTGTATTTTTCTTACAGGACTCTTACAGGAGTGCTTTCTCCCTCCTCCTCCCCCAGCCACTAAAAATAACCAACCAAATGGAACCCAAAATATAACCTCAGAGGAGTGCTAGGAAGGGGAATACTTCTGCAACTCAGGCCAGAGAGACTTTCAAAACAGTGTGTAGGCTTTGCACAAATTTTATCCTCTGCCTTTGTCTAACAATGCTAAAAATATTGCCTGTGCTGCAGAGCTGCGATACAGATGCAAAAAAAAAAAGGGGGGGGGGGGAAAAAAAAAAAGGGGGGGGGGGGGCAAAAAAAGCGCACAGGTATGATGGTATGATTTATTGTGTTTTGTGCAAAGCTGGTCTGTTTGTTCTAATTCCAGAATGATCCACGCAAATGACAGCCATTACAGGAAGCTCCTACGGAGACATGAAAAGCATGAAACCCCTAAGATCATATAGAATTTAGTATAAAATTTTCACTTATACTAAGAAACCTTCAAGAACTTTAAAAATAAATAAATCTAATAGACTAAGAAATTTAAAGGATTTTAAAAAAGTCTTTTGTAGTAATTATACTTTCCTCTTAAGTTCATTGGATATTCATTGGAATTAAGTTCATTAAAACCTGTATATAATCGTCTCTCATCTTCTGAAACAACTGCATTCTGGTTACTTGGCATTCCTCCAATACAAGTGCAAGAGAAGGAGGGCCTATCTTTTTCCCTTAAACTATGTAGGTTTTTGCAATAAGGGAGTAGGCACAGGGAACAAACAAAACTCAGATTGATCTTCAGATTCCAGATGGCACTTGAAATACCGTCAACTGGAAAGAAAATCCAGATGCAAATCTGACATGTGAGACATCAGGCAAATTTGAAAAACAGCCCAAACCAAAAAACCAGAACCCATATTGGCTAACAGCACTCTCAGTTGCTTTACCTTCTGAATATAGGAAAATGTGAAGTCTGCTGCTGATTTCTACAGGTGACTGCCATTTCTCAAGTTGCCATTTATGCCATCTATCTACATTTTTTACCAGGGAAACTCACTCCCTGAATAATACTTTTATCTTCAGTATTTCTTATATACTTCTGTATCTACAGTATTCTGGAGGGGCAGATAGCTTGGGAAGGTGAAAACAAAGTTCTTTGCATGTGACAACTGTGTTGTGATTTTTTGTCTAAAAGTGTCAGCAATAGTGCCAAAGTAAGTGAGGTGAACTGAGGGAGAGATTTTACAGTGTTTGTGGATTTCCTTCCGGACAGGCATTCACTAAAGCAGCTAAGTGGCTGGCTGCTGCCCCATGGATCCCATCGGGCAGCACAAGGCTCAGCTGGATTAGGAAAGGCAGCCTAAAAGTGAGACAGTTGCATGTACCATCGCTGGTTCCCTGACCCAGATCCCCTTTCTCCCCCAGCTAACACATCTGTGATGAACTGTCAGTCTGAGAGGAACTACTTTGAGACTGGTTTTGCTCTTCTTGTTGAATTGACCTGAAAATTTGAACACCGTTCTAAAAGATTTACTCTGCTTTTTTTTTCCCCTTTACAATTGGTTGATAGTCAGGAATTTGTAGGAATGTAGTATTTATGTATATCACTGATAATAAATGACACCACTGAAGTGAGGATATAATTCTGTCCCCACTTTGAGTTGAAGATGAGATCACATGCCAGCAGGACACTAATGCACACTCCAGTTAACATATGTGTTTAAAAATTAAATGAATACAGAAATTATGGGTAAAAAATGTAAATGTATATAACATGCATTATTTTAGAGCGAGGCATTTAGCTAATGTTTTAACAGTGCAGTGTGTTGAGATGAAAATCAGAGTAGACTCAGTGGATGGACAGGCTGCCAGCTGATGAGATGGATCCAGACATAGGATAATCTCCAGGAGTGTGGCTCAAATGTATAAGCACTTCCAAGATCAGCACTTTTGGTGAATCCCAAACTTGCAAATAATGTTGCAATATTAAACACCAAAATATAAAGAAAACCACAAAGAAACCCTTTTGGTTTGTTAAAATAGCAGCAACAAAAAAATCTGCTCCAAGCTATAAAGTTCAATTGCAGTTTAGATGTAGCATAACAATTTTAGAACATGTTTATCTTACTTGAGAAGGTACAAACACTGTAGTACTCTTAACAAGAATACAGTGGCTGATTTAGCTTAAAAGAACTTGGAAAATATATATAACAACAAATTTCCAAAGAGTGAAAAAATGTAAGTATACTAGTAAAATCTTTTGGGTGCCAGTCAGGTCATTTCGACTGTGTAACAACATCACCAACCATTTGCTCATGCTCCCAGTGTATTCCAAAGGTAACATTTTTGAGACAACCAAGCCTCAGACAGACAGGACATATTGCACATATTTTGTGCTGAAAGAGTGGCAGATTCTAATTCTTTGCATCATCTGTCTCTCAGGAAGGAGGAACTAGGTGCTGCTTTTCATTTTGGCATCACCACTTTTGCTGCAACTCCTAGTTTCCTTGACACAGACAGAACAACAACATGTCTACACTTATAGCTGGAGTTGAAACCAGC